TGTCCAAACACTCCTCCCTACTGGCAATGGAAAACTAGCTCTGGCTATATTAACTGGGGTGAGAAAACCAATATAGTTCTCCTTCTATCTAAGCTTAAGTTCCCAAGACAACTAGAGACCATCAACTTTCAACAACATATCAGTTATTGTCCTAGTCAGGACTCTTTTCATGACAAAAAAACAGTGACTCCACTTATAGGATATAAAGCGAGGAAGCTTCAAACAATGCTAGAGATCCACAGAAACCATAGCATGGTACCAACATGAGTCATGGAAACTGAAATCATTGGAGAACTGAGACAACTCAGTTATCTCTCAAGATTCATCTGCTTTCTAGCTTCTAATTCTCTCTGCACAATTTTTCTTTCCTCTTCCTTCTCTTTGCAGACCAGCTTTCTTGTAAGGGTGTCACCAGTTACTTAGGGCTGCCCATTACCAGTGCTACATAGGGAATAGGATCTCAAAGAAAAGGATTATGGGCAAGGATGGTCCAAAGCATGTCGACCAGAGATGTTAAGCTCTTAAATCTCTTTGCTTTGTTCTTAGCAGGACTCTCCTTTGATACTTTTCCTTTGCCATGGTGAAAATTCAGTCTTCCTGTGGGGAGATCTTCTTTCTAGGTCTCTTGGTTCTCTGTCTCCCTGATTCTGTGAAACCCCAAAGAAGTCAAGCTCTGTGCCCAGGCTTTGAGCTAACAAGAGCATCATCTCCAAAAATTATCTCAGTCTTTCTCCAGAATTCTACCCTGGTAGCTTCTCATCCTCCTGTGATCACATTCATTTTTCATCCATCTAATGTTTTGGTTACTGATTTTTATCTGTACCTGATACTACTGCCCACACAGGATGTATCATGGGGGCCAAAGAACCATTCACCCTGGATCTTACTCAATAGACCGCAAAATAAACTTCCAATAATCTCTCCATATTAGTTTATATATGCAGCCTCTGGTATACATTTAAGATCTTATTTATAATAAAACTTTAATAGCTCATTATCAGATACCATATTGCACATCGCAAATTACTTTTTAAATAAAACCCCACATAATCTTATAAATAACACAATTATGTTGCATTGTAATTTATGTACAGTAGACCTCCGTTAGCCATGGTTTTGCTTTCCATGGTTTCAGTGTCACAGTCCAAGAGTCTTAAATAGAAAATTCCAGAAATAAACAATTAATACATTTTAAATTGCACATCATTCTGAATAGTGTGATGAAATCTCATGCCAGCCTGTACTGTCCCACTCAGGGCATGAATCATCCATTAGCCAGTGTATCCACACTGTATATGCTACTTGTCTGTTAGTTACTTAGTAGCCATCTGGGTTATTATATCAAAAATACCTGCCAGGCGCAGTGGCTCATGCCTGTAATCCCAGCACTTTGGGAGGCTGAGGTGGGCACATCACGAGGTCAGGAGATGAAGACCATCCTGGCCAAAAAGGTGAAACCCCGTCTCTACTAAAAATATGAAAATTAGCTGGGCATGGTAGCGTGCGTCTGTAGTCCCAGCTACTCAGGAGGCTGAGGCAGGAGAATCACTTGAACCTGGGAGGCGGAGGTTGCAGTGAGCCGAGTTCATGCCACTGCACTCCAGCCTGGATGACAGAGTGAGACTCTATCTCAATTTAAAAAAAACCAACAACAACAGTATATATATTGGGCTTTGTACTATCTTTGATTTCAGGCATCCACTGGGAGTCTTAGAACATATCCCCTGCAGGTTCCTACTATATTAAGAGGTTACTACTGTATTAAAAGTACTCTTTCTTATGTGATAATATTAACACCTGGTTTGGGCTTAAAAAAAAAAAAAATTGTTCCAGAAAAGGAAGGAGGGAAGGGAGAAGAGGAAAGCAGAGGGAGATCCAGGTTTTGCTGGACCTCTGAAAGGCCCTGAACTGGCTGCAGCTCCCAGCTTCTCACTTGGGTTTTATCCCAAAAGAAGTTTGTGAATGCAGAGAAATGAGGGAAAGATAACCAGTAAGTGGATAACACTGGAAAGACTGGCCAGAGAGGTACAGAGGAGGTAGATTTCTTTCAAGTGGAAAGGGAAGGCGTGGTTTTGAGGAGGATGTGGTATTTAAGTTGGCTTCACTATACATTATATTTTATGTAATGTGAGTAACACAAGTGTGGGAAAGGGAGAAATGGGAGAGAAAAAAGGGAAAGCCAGGAACATGGAAAAGCATGGGGAAGAGAAGAAAGTCGTTTTACAGCCTATGTTCAACAAACAAACAACACAGTGATCACAGTCAGACACAACAGCTTCTCCAAAATCCTCTCCTCTCTGAATATTCCACAAATTACAATCTTCTATTTCTAGAGATTCACTTCTAGGGAACTAAGCAAAGCTCTCACTAGGGGTATATATTTGATCTATACCAGTTACTAGAAACTCAGTATCGGTTGATTTACATGACTGAGAAGGCAGGCACTAAGATACAAAGTATGCAGGTGAATGTGGATAGGACAGGGCACCAAGTAGTGCAGAGAAGCCCCACAGGGGAGGCACTGCTTGGAAAGACATACTAGGTGGGGAAGTGGAGCATGGGTGGAGCTTGGTGGGCAAGGGTGAGCAACATGGACACTAGCTTATATGGTTTGGCTCTGTGTCCCCACCCAAATCTCGTCTTGTAATTCCCATGTGTTGTGGGAAGGACCTGGTAGGAGATAATTGAATCATGGGGTGGGTCTTCCCTTGCTGTTCTCATGATAGTAAGTCTCACGAGATCTGATGGTTTTAAAAATGGGAGAGAGAGCACAAGTTCTCTCTCTCTCTTTGCCTGCCGCCATCCACCGAAGATGTGATTTGCTCCTCCTTGCCTTCCACCATGATGGTGAGGCCTCCCCAGCCACGTGGAAATGTAAATCCATTAGACCTCTTTCTTTTGTAAATTGCCCAGTATTAGGTATGTCTTTATCAGCACCATGAAAATGGACTAATGCACTAGCTGTGTCACACAAAAGGGTAAGAATATGATAAAGTGCCCATTTTTTGCTACGTGACTATTTTGCTCAGAGCCACCCTGAAAAGAAAGAAAATAGGAAAGGGAATTAAGGTTGTGGAATGCCAAAATAAAAAGACCACGAAGGCAGGAAGTTTGTCTAATTTGTGCTTGCTTTATACCAGAGCTCAGAACAGTGCCTGGCACTCAGATAGGTTTTAAGCGTATGAACAAATGCCTACCTGGTGATAGGCCTTGTGCTTGGGACTTTACCTGCATTAGCTCATTTAAGTCTCACACATAAACACAGATGAGGAAATTGAGATACAAAGAGTAAGTATCTTGCCCTAGGTCATCCAGCCAACGAACAGTAGTGCCAGAATTCAAATCCTAGCCTAATTGACGAAAGCCAGTGCTATTAACCACCATGAAATACTTCTTCACTAGACAGGAAACCAGACAATGACTATAGCGTACAGTAATCTGAGTTTGGCACAACTCACTCTGATGATAGCATCATTCAGATACCAACTGGAGGAACCAGTTTTAAACAAGGGTGAGGGGATGCAGAATATTAAGGGAAGCTGAGCGGTCTGGCTGACTCTATGTTATGGTATCAAATCTGGCTTGCCGGAATTTTGATTAGGACAAGAAATATTTCGAAGCACAAATGAGAAGGTATTTTCATCTCTGCTTCTCTCTTTAATTCAGAGTTCTGTAGAAGAAAAACAGGAAATGTTCCTATATGAAGCAAGTGGTATCAAAATCTATCATATCAGTATTGAAAAGCACCAGGTAATTTCTTAGATTCAGAAACCTCAATTTGTCCCTAATGAAATTCTAAGAAGGCTGCAATAACCAATTACTCAGAAACATTTTTGTATTTATTTGGCTGACTTAAACTGAATTATTTCTATATCCAACTGTTTCTATTAGTCATCATAAACTCAAAGACATTAGTTTATTCTAGTACTTTAAAAAATAATAAATGATAGAACAAAAACATAGGATGGATAAGGAAATATATATTAATTAGTACCATTCATTTTTTATTCATTAATATGGTATTGAAGGACTTTGGCAGGTGACACTGTATATCCAAGCTACTAAGTCTATTTCTGAATGTTTCTACCGCATACCAGAGAAGAGTGAGGCAACAGAGAGCAAACTGCCAGCCTTGGACCAGCTAGTAAAGAACGGAAATGAGTCATCCATTTTTCACCCACACTCTTGAAACTAAACCTGAAAGGGAAAAAAGGTTTAATACAAAATAGAACTTGTTTATTCCCCTATCCACATTTGCTAGAACAGTGTGTAGCATAAATGTTTATGGAATAGATGGTTTAATAAATATATCTTGAATGAATAAATAAGTGAATATTTTTTCTATTTTTCCCTCAAGCTAGGAATATGAAGGAAGGCAACAAAAAGAAAATAATGCTGATTGCCCACAGGACTCATTTGCTGAGACTACAGTTAGTTTTGTAGTCCAGATCCACTTAGACAAGTAATAGGCATTTTAAACTTAACATACCCAGAATAGAACTTCTAATTTCCTCCCTTATAAATTGTTCTCCCCCAATCTTCTCTCAGGAAAGGCATTTCCATTTCACAAGCAGCTCAAGGCAAAATCCTAGGGGTGATGCTTGATTCCTCTCTTCCCCTCATTCCCTATATCCAAATCCTCAATATGTAGACCCTGCTCCCAAAACGCATCCAGATTCTAATCACTATTTCCAGTACTACCACGCTAATCCCACCGCCATTGTCAAACACCTGCACTACCACAAAAACCTCTAACTTGTCTCTCCTCTTCCAAGTTTTCCCCTCTGCAGTTTAATCTTTATCCAGATGAAAATGTGATCATTTTGAATCATGCATATTCTTTCCTTTCTCTCCTTATAATGCTGAAATCGCTTCCTGTTGTACTTAGAACAAAAGTCCAATCTGTCTCCTCCTCCTCTCTATCACTCTGACCTCATCTTCTGTAACACTGTCTTTTCTGTTGTCACCATACTGGTGTTCTTTTTTCTTTTTGAACATACCGTGCTCTTTCTCATCTCAAGGACTTTGCACTTGCTGTTTCTCTGTATGGAATCCCTTTCCTCCAAATCTTGACGTGGTGGAGTCCTCATCATTCAGGTTTTAGCACAAATACCTCCTTATCGAGTGCCTTCCCTGACTAAAGCTGACCCTCCCTGCAACACCCACACACGAGGTACATTCTATCACATCACCCTGTTTTATTTTCGTCTTAGAACTTAACACTATCTGAAATTAGTTGATAAATATGTATGCTTGCTTCATTCATCTGTGTCTACCAATGAGGATGTAATTTTGAAAAAAGTAAGAATCTTATTAGTCTTGTTCTTCATTACATCTCCTGGACTACAGTGAATATTTATTGAATGAATTAATGTTTTCTGAAAGTCCTTGAGCAGTATTTGTGGTTGGTTTTGGTACTTTTTTGAGTTTTAATTGTTCATTATGTCATTATGTTATAGGGTCTCTGCAATTAGGATTAAAAGTATAATTGAAACTGAGTCATTTTCTATTGGTTTTAGAGCAGAATCTGATAATCCTCTCTTGAGAAAACACTTTTAAACTGCCACTACATCACAGAGCCAATTCTGACATATCTATATCAAAAACTAATTTCCTCAATTCTATGTGTATGACATCCAAATTTTTTTTCTAAATATTACCCACATTTGGCATGGTCATCAGAGCTAAATGATAATTTCAACCACACGTTTTCTGCTGCTTCTCTACCTTCCTTTTCATTTTTGCATATATTGGTGATTTCCTAAATGTAAATGGTTGAGTTTAAATGCCAGCGTCGGGGGGAGGGATGGGGGGAGAAATTATTCTTTGCAAAGGCGGAGAGATTTGTTACTTAGTCAAGTGCTTCTTCAGTAGCTAAGTTCTCATTAGAAAGCTAACTTTTCAGAGTAGCTCAGAGGTGTCATTTAGAATTATTTCATTTTACCAAGCTAGCGTGAAATCTCGTGACACCCTGAGGCTACTTGTCGTGGAGTGTCACAAAATGACACTCTGTCCCAATCACCACTAAGTAATATTAACTCCTAAGCCTGATCTTCAAAGTCTTAGAATACAGGCTGCATCCATCCAAGGAGAGATTTTATTTTCCTAAAAATGATTTTAAGTAGTTTTTAGCTTATTGCAATAAGCTAGCCTTCATATTTAAATTAGTTGCATGAGAGAGGTATTTGTCATTGAAAACAAAGCTGCATTTATAGTTTTGAATTCATTGTACAGTACCCATCGTTTGTCCACCTGGTCTTCTGCTTGTACACAAATCACAGCATAACTCTGACAAGATACGGTTGTTTTCTTTGATTGTTTTAAGTTTTTAAGTTGTAGAGAAGGATCATAACATAACCTAAAAAGGAAGTATATAAATCCTAAAGAAGAAAAATTAAAAGATTTAGATATCCAAAAATAAAAATTAAAATTAAAAAGAATCACAGCTATTCAAAAAACAATTCTTCAAAAATAAGAGTTAGTAAAATAAGAATTTAAAAGCAACATCATATGTGATATGTAAAACTTGACTATATTATTCATTTTCCAATTCTGTTCAAATGCTAAGTTTCGCAAAAACTCACAAATATGAGAAACAAATGGGCACTAAAACAACACTGAGATTATTCATTTATACTAGAAAATGAAGTAGCAATGTCAAACATTTCAAGTTACTAGTTAGAGGAGTCTTAAATGGCACTTGCTCCAAGACATGTCTTATTACTTAACATGAGAAATATGAAGACGGAAGACAATACAGCAGCTTTAAGAACTTTTAAATCTATTTTTGAAAAAACACATTTAAAGTCACCAAGCCTACGTGACAAATGAGTGCAAGAGATACTAAATTTCTGAGACTGTGAATAAAAACTTTGTATTACTTTTCCAACCTAAAATAGTATTCAATAAAAACCGTATATGAAGAGTACGTTGCTTAATGTCTATCAATATTAATATTTTTAAAAATTAAAAACAGCAACCCTTTATTTAGGAATTTATCCTGTAGATATGCATCCACCTGGGTACAAATATAAATAGTTGTAAATGCTGACTGCTGAAAATGTTCATTGCTGAAAAGCATGGAAACAGCCTAGATTTCTGACAATAACGTACTGAATACACTAAATATATTGTATCCACATAATGTAATACTCTGCAGTAATTTTTAAAGTGAATTAGAATTAGAATTTATTGTTATCAAATGTCTAAGAAATACTAAGTATTTCTTAAAAGTTTGACAACTTTTAAGTAAGTTGTCAAACTAAGCATAATTTATTAAATTAAGGATATGTAAAGGAAAATGGTTGTTTATACATAATGGATCATTAAATTCGGCTTATTTTACTGTGAATGCAAAGAATGTTTCTGGAAGACACGTCTGAAATTAATGTCAGTTATGAGACAATCAAGGCAGAAGAAAAGTTATTTTCATTGTACCACTTTTTCGAATAATTCAGACTTTCGATCGGGGCATGCATTTGTTTCTCAAAAGAAATTGTAAAATATAATGGATAGAAAATTTTAAAATACTGTCTCTATCTTCCTCATTCATTTAAAAACCCCAATTTCAGTATGATCCAAACTGAGTAATTGTGATAACTTCTCATTTTAGAATAGAAGTTTATTTGATGGCTTCTTAAAAATTTACTTAACTTTGAAAAAAGTAATTATTGTAACAGCATCTCCCTAAACCATGCTTTTTCCTGAGCATGCTCAGTTTTGTCTTATTGAATTTTGTACATACATACAGACGTGGTGATATCATGGGATTTATTTTACTTGGAAAGAAACATATATTGAAACAAGATCATGGTTGACAATGTCTTAGCATTAATTGATTTTTTTCTCGTGGTTTCTAACCATATCCTCTACCGAAATATTTTCTACAGTTTCTATATAAGTTTCTTTTTAAGGGGTAATGATTTTCAAACACTTGAATATTATTTATAATAATCAAATAGTTATATGTTAAGAAAGCAAAAAATAAAACCTAAAGAAGTGTTAGCCATTATTATGATACATTGAATAATATTTTTTCATGTTATTACGTCTGAGTTCTGACTGTGAGAATAAGTCACAGCTGCTTTCTTCAGACACTAAAGAAAAAACAGTATCTAAAAAAAAGTACCTAAACAAAAAAATGCAGTGATTACACATTGATCCAGAGTTTAGTTAATGAAGTGGTTAAAAGGAAACATCATCTGAGAAATATTCTATTTTAATAATATTTTCACAAACAATAAATACTGTATTTATTTGCAAACATTAAAAGCAAAGCTAAAAGGAAAAATAAAAAATTTGAACTAACCGAGGAAACTGACTTTCAGATGAATATTTTTAATAACATTTCCTCAGGCTATAACTAATTAAACTGTTAAAAAAAATGATTCAAATGATTCAGTGTTGGTGGCCTTCCAATAAATTATTCAAACAATTCAAGTATTTTTAAAATCTCTCTTTTTTTGAATAGCCAGTGAATAAAATTTAAAGCATTTGAGCTTGGTTAACAGGATATATTCCATATATTACTTTGACAAATGGAGACCAAAAACAAGTGGGCAACAAAAAAATGCTCAGTTTTCAGTCTGTTAATACTTCAAAGTATGAACTGGAAAATAATACAAATCAGCACTTATTGTGGGAATGCAGTTCTGTTTAAAATCACTACTCTTGATTTTTTGTGGAAAAGAGTGAATCTGGACACTCTAAAAATTCACAATCCAATAAATGAAATATACTTAACAATCCCTCTGGGAGAGTATACTAGGCAAACTCTGACTTCTGTACTTGTCTTAGGCTCCTATTAAAGGTGAAACAAGTATAGGATTAGGTTGATGGTTCAAAACTATAGAAACTTTTCTAAGTACCATAATTAGGAAAGAACAAACAAATTTTCTCTAAATTGGAAAATGCGATTTTGTGTCACTGTCACCCGAATTCTTAGAGCAAATCCTACTGGAAGATGAGGGCAATTATTTAATATATTGTATTAGCCAGATGCAGTGGCTCATGTCTGTAATCCCAACACTTTGGGACGCTGAGGCAGTAGGGTTACTTGAGCCCAGAAGTTCAAGACCAGCCTGGGCAACATGAGACCCTGTCTCTACAAAACATTAAAAAATTATCTGGGCACGGTGGTGTGCACCTGTCCCAGCTACTCAGGAGGCTGAGGGAGGAGGACCACTTAAGCCTAGGAGTCTGAGGCTGCAGTGAGCCATGACTGCACCACTGCACTCCAGCGTGGGCAATAGAGCAAGACCCTGTCTCAAAATAACAATAACAAGAATAATAAAATGTTGTATTAAATATTTTTGGAAGGATTGAAAGAAGGGAAGGAGTTACTTTACAAGCCTCATAGTTTCTCCAAGACACAAGAATATTTATCCTAACACATAAAATAACTACAATCAGAATCTTCAAAAAAAGGGCCTGTCCTAGGCAACATTGCAAAGTCACAAATTTACCTTCTAGCACTCTTTACCACCCTCTCTACACACACTTCATTAGTGGCTTTTCCCCTACTAGGATGTTTTCCCTGTAAAATATGATTTCTACCACATGTCAACTAAGATGATAAGTAAAATGTCTATTAATATGGCTTGGTGGTTACTTAGGCATTGACATTTTATTTTTAGACATTTGAATACCAAATGGCCCACAGTTCCGAAGGCAGGAAGCTGTAATTCGCTCATACGCTATAGCAGACGTTATCAGTGCCCTGCTCATGGCCCCTCAGCACTTGCTTGTTTTATACTGTCTACAGCTTCTTACTGCAAACACCTCAGACTCTCTGACTAAAAGCTTTCTGTCCTATAGGAGCATGCTCAGGAAGGAAATAATAGACAGTTGACTGTCCTCAGCAGCAGCCTTCACCCAATAAAATATGGGAGTTCAACATCGTTGCTTAGAGATCCCCAGTAGAAATGAGCCCCACTGGCCCACAGTAGTAAACTACTCATTAGGGTCTCCTTTTCTGTATTCCTTTCTCCTTTTTATTTCTTGTCTCACTTCTCCACTCTTCTAATGGGGCTTCCTGGGCTTACCTTCCAAACAAACTACTTGTACTTGAACCCTTATTTTAGGGTCTGCTTTCAATGGAACACAACCTAAGATATTTATTCTTTGCATAAGAA